AGCACCTCACCACTCTCTGTAAAGAGCTTCCCCTGACATCCAATCTAAACCTCCCCTCCTTAAACTTAAAACCCCTCCCCTTGTCCTATCTCTACCTACCCGAGTAAAAAGCTGATTCCTTTCCTTTTTATAATCCCTCTTAAACACTGGACGGTTGCAATGAGGTCTCCTCACAGCCTTCTCTTCTCCAGGCTGAGCAAGCCCATCTTTGTTTCTCCCTACTCCTACTTCCAAGATTCTCTTTCTTTTTAGTAAAGGCATTTGGAATTTCAGTATTTCACTTCTCAAATCTCCCCCACTGAATTAAAAAACAAAATCCCAATTTAAACATTGTTTCCATTAAGCAGGCAAAGAACACTTTCATTTTATTTCTGCCTCCTGCAGAATTTGGAGAGATACCAGGTTCATGTTCTCAGTCTCCGTGCGCTCTGTGAAATTAAGAGGAAGTTTATTTTGAAGGAAGACTGCTGGGAACTTATACTACTAATCTCCAGTTTGCAGAGTCATTCACTCTCTCACTGGTCTGATTAAATAAAATACATCAAGTCTGCCAGCTGCATCTGTTGAAAAAACTTTATGGTGCTGCAGAAAATACTAAACCTTGGTATTTTTATTCCAGAATTCCTAGATGTGAATCTGAATATGTCTTTTTAGAAGACCAGCTAGTGGGGGAAAAAAATCAAACTTCTCATTAATCATCTCTGGTGGTTCTTCAAAAATTATTTTTTAAAGTTTATTTTCTGTTGGCTGTTCTGAATAAATTAGTTAACATTGAGGCTTGACTTCATCCAGCTCCACGCCACTCAGATAAGGCAGGAGGGACATCTAGTGGCTGGCAGGTAGCAACCTGGGCTTCTCCACTGTCAGACCTCACTTCACACAGCACTTCCACGTATTTGTCAAGGTTGACCATTGAGGTTACAATGACAGGTAGAAAAGTTCTCTGTTCATGAGCCCCTTCTACTCCTTTCATCAAAAGCAGACAAGGAATTAATTTCACATTTCTAAGTACAGCTAAAGCTGGTCAGCCTGGCTCTCAGCTCCATGCTAATTCCACCTCCAGTCAAAGAGCTCCTGTGTAACTTACTGTAACACATCACATGCAAATTGAGACCAAGCCATCTCATTCTGCTTCTCTCACTACAGCAGGATCTCATTTTAAAAAATGCTGAAGAACTTTATGGAAAAGTACGCACAGATTTTGTTTTGGAACTGCTATTATACTAATTCAGTCAACATCTATTCAGGATTTTACATATGAAATTTATGAACAAGTTTAGGTCAAGCTGAAGTGGGAAAATGAATTACCTGTCTGTGACCAGTGGCACAGATGAAAAAACTCTGCCACCTGGAACCATCTCTTCAGCAGTGCTGACTGAGCACCTGATCTCTTCCTCTACCACTTGATGCTTAGGAAAGAATTCTGCATGTTCGTGCATCCTTCCATTGTGCATTTCTGAGGTTCTCTTTGGTGGTCTGGGAGGAGGCGGGGTATGTTCTGGTGGTGGGTCCAGATCTTCATTGGAAAGCTCTTTCCACTGTTCCTGCAGGGAAGGAAATACCCTGTTATGTTTTCCATTGTTTATTTTATGTAAACTACTGTAGCTTTAACTTGGTAGGGGCTTTCCACTCTACCTTCTCACTTATTTTTAGCATGCCTGTTCATTTGCATTGAAAAAAAAAAAAAAAAAAAAAAAAGGGAAAGAAGACGACACAAAAATAATACCGAATCTAAGCTCTCTGCAGTACACCAAAGACATCAGTTATAATCAGTTATAAAAGGAAGAAATTTTAATCTACCTCTGGAAATTTTAAATAGCATGAAATAGAACCTATGTTGCTAGTTCTGCTGTAAGAATTCATTGCAATACTTAAATTTCTATCATACAAGGAAGCTGATGAAAGACATGGCAGATGCAGCCAATCTACACCCCAGTGAAGGTGCTGAGAAGTACACAGGCACCACCTATTATTCTACAGGGCTACAGGAAGTATTCTGAAGTCAGTAATAAAGCGTTGTATTCAAGTAATGCACAATATAAAAACTTACTGAAGCCAAAGTAATTCAAGGCTCCTTTCTGTTCACTGACCCCACTTATATGCTACAGTTAAAAAAAATGTTGCAGCTTACTACACATCTGGATCTGCAGTCAATGGTACTCACTTGCACTGAAGCATCCCCCATAATGAATTTTGCCCCCTCAATAACAGCTAAGTAGGAGAAACGAAGCTGATCTGCTGTCTGTATGAGTCCCATTCTGTACTTCCTCATTTCGAGCAGAACCTGCTTAACATCCACAGAAGAAGGATCTTTCCGTTTGTCCATCTGAAGATAAAAATTTGAAACATACTTTATGCTCTGATGAGATTCAATATGATGACTGGCTTAATAGAGCAGCTTTCAGACCATCCTACATATTGAAGTATTAATGCACTAAGAAAAGACACAGAAATGGAAAACTGCACTAGGACTCCTGTATGTTTTCCCTTTTTTGGTCTTTCTTGTTTTGAAGATGTAATAAGTAAAATAGTTTAAGAAACAGATACTCTGACCCAGGCCTGACTTCTGTGTATTAGTTGATCTCACACAGTGACAGAATAAAACCAAAATTTTCCCCTCCCTAAATGGCAAAGTTGACTCTGTAAAAGGAAACACGTCGGTGTACTTCACACTGTTTAAGGATAGCTTACACTGTTATTTAGCAAACACCTCATGTTTTTCTTAACCACACGGATAAAGCCTATCCGTGCAAATCACTCTAAAAACTAGAGTTTTCCTTCCTGGAATCAAACAGCCAGTTAAGAATGAGATCTACCTTAGTTTTAAAATGGAAGACAGTCTCAAACCAGAATATGAGTAAGATAAGAGAATTAACATGTGAGAATACTCCACAGAAAACACCGCAGCTTTTTGTAAGCCAGAAGAAACCGCTCTTGAAGGGAGCTCTACTGAAACAGCGTATCATCTCGACACTGTAGTTCTTACCAGCAGAAGACACGTATCGACCAGACAGAATGTTCCTGATCTCCCAATTCCTGCGCTGCAGTGCACCACAACAGGTCCATACTCAGGGTTAAGCGAGCCAGATTCTCTCACTTTGAACAAGAAATTGAGGAATGAAGCAGGAGACTCCGGGACTCCAAAGTCAGGCCACGTAGTATAATGAAAGTGCAGAATCTCTCTAGTTTCCTGCATCTGTAAAAGACAGCACTTAGCAAGTCTTTTAGGTAGACGCACAAGTCAAAAACTGTTCAAAGTACAGCTGCTTACAACAATGTTCTAATGAGCAAATACAGTTCCTCACATGTTCATTTTCCCAGCAAATATCCTCCTACTTGCTTAAGAAAGGCAGCTTCAAATGTCAGTTATATAGCTTCAAACATTAACTGTTTATAGCTGTAGGTCAGTTTCAAATTTGTGCCTACAAAAAAAACGTTAGCAGTAAATCTGGTTTCTATGATACAGAGGAGAGCACCAGCTCAGCTTTGTGTGATAATCAGACTGCACTACTACTTCTTGGACATTACAGCTTTACAATAGTTGACTTAAATTCAAATGACAACGCTCCATGTTCTGAGGGGGCTTTCACATCTGCTCAGCTAAGAAACTAATTACAATTATTCCTTTTTGTAAAAGGACTCTGTTTTGAGCAAAGGAGACTGGTAAGTAAACTTATGTATAACCTACCTTATGCTTTTTTCAGTATAGTTCAAATGCTTGCACTAAAATAGCTAGCTGATAGTAGCTAACTACTGCTGACCAGTTTGTAATGGCAGAATTTAAAGACCATTTAAAGAGTTCTCAGAATGGTGTACGGCGAGCTACAGAAGCCTGTTCCACTTCTGCAGACGAAACACACAATCACAGGTGTTCCCTTAGACTTTATTCCCAATTTGGAAACTTTCTTCCAAGACTACTAACTCAACGGTGTTCACATCCTGTCAGAATTTGGAGGTACAACCATCCAAAACATGCCTATGGCAGATATACTTCTTAACACAGCAAACAAACTGCAACAGCCAAATCCTTACTCAGCTATCACTTGATCAATCAAATTCGTATCTGCTTTCTCACATTTCCTGGCACAAGATGCTAACAGTTGAGCAAATATTGATACCCTCCAGTATGGAGCAGCATGTGGGCAGAACAGAACTGTTGCCAGAATGCCACAACATGCACACTGAGCTCAGCACCGCTGGGAACCTTAGACATTATCTTCAGTTACCCACATTCAGCGACAGTGAATGGCAATATTCCTTGCCAGCGTCATGCAGGAACTTTCCATCAGGTGCCACTGCTTGAATGACTGCTTTTGTGTTTCTTCACTGCCAGAGTAATGCTCCAATACCAGGCAATGTTGAAGAGCCATCTCATACAGAATCATCAATTCCAGCACAAAATCTGCTGCATTTCACACCAGTCTTTTCCATAACCTTAGTGATGAGCAGGGTCTCACCTCAGAGAGATTAAAGGAAGTGACTGGTAGTAGTTCCTGTACTTACTGTAAGGTTTTCCAACTCTAGTTGTCGTACTGTGTAATATGACTTTATATCTTCTGATATCAAGGTTAGTTTCAAGTTCGTATCTTCAAAAAACATTTCCCTTTCTTCCTTCCGTGGCCAGTACTGCGCACACTTTATCTAAAAACAAACGGGTACCATTTATGCATCGTTTATACTTGTGTAAAAAGCAAATATAACTATCTTAAAATATTCCTCTGGTTTTATTATAAGGATGAGTTTCAATGCAAAAAATACCAGCCTTCCTTTATGCTGCAAAACCACATCTTCGGTAATTTTTGTTTGGTACGAGTCAAATTATTTTGACCCCAACTGACTCATGAAAATACCTAATGACTGAGGATAGCTTTGTGGCAGCAGAGCTCTTTCTTCTACATGGAAACTGGAAGAGTGTGCAACAGGACTGTACCTCTGTGGAACATAATCAAAATCACCAAAGTCATTATTTATTTTAGCTTGTATCATACCATTAACAACAACCCAAAAAGTCTAGTAAATTTCTAAATACAAAAGCTGTACAACACTCCCAAAATGTGAATCCAAGTCAATGCTGCATTTTATGCATCACCCTTACTGAAATGTTTCCATTTCAAAAGAAGAGATGTTAACAAGAGCAGAATGTACCATAAAAAAAATTATTAATTCAACAGATAAGCTACTAGAGAATGACAGCATTACTAATTTGCAAGTATAATATCAGATGAGATTTTGGGTTATTTCTTTCACTTACCGCAAAAATAAAAATAGCAGTGAGATCATTCTAATTTTACATGGCACACTTTGAAAGTAAAGAGCCTAACAAAAAATCCTGCAGTCAGCAAACACAACCATTACCTATTTCTGACTTTCAATTTTGTCAGTGAAGTTTTCCAAGAGAACTTACTTTTGCAAGAAGACTGCTGCATTAGATAAATCAACCAAACAGACGAGCAGCAGATTGTGCAGTGTGTAGGAAAAAACTGAAACTAAAGAAAAAGAAACTCACCAGCAAGACAAATGGGAAAGTTTGTAACCATTAAAAACTACAGATATTCTGAGTGTGGGAACTGTCCTGCTCTTTCTGTCATTAAGCATTGCTCCTCTGAAAACAGGATTACAGCCACCACTTGTCCGTATCTCAGCTCTTTGGGAACGGATGGCTGGACGGATGGATTAGTGCTATTTTTATTGAAGGTCCAATAACATGGATTTAATGCTGAGGTGGAGAAATACTGGTAAGAAAACAACAGCAATCTCACCTCTAGGATAATTTCTGCCAGGAAACTCTACGGAGTAATGTAATCAATGGTACATTAATTCTAGTTTTGCCCGGACTAGTTCTAGCTTTTATTCAAATAGTACCCTTAGTTTTCAGGGTCTAGAAGGCAGTTATAATTCTCAGCACTTTCTTGAGTCTTAACGTTTAAGAAACTGCAAATGACTGGTGTCTAATTGCTCTATCAAATGCGCCTGTAAACACTATTTTGTTGTGCTCCACTGTAGTCCCCTGCTGCTGTCTGCTCAGAAGGGTTAGCAGCCAGCCCTGAGGGCTATCATAGTAATTCATTTTCTTTGAAACCATTGACACTGAAGAGAATAAGTGGGAATGGCTGGAAAGGAAGAAACTATTGAAAACTACAGTTACTGCATCTCTTGAAGATTAAGTTTCACTTGCAACACACTCATAATCAAGACTGCAGTTACTAAAAACACAACTGATTCCACAAGAAATTTCCTGATGATTGAGAATTCTTTCCCCATTTTGCAAAAGCACACACCAGTTATCACTGGTAGATACCCAACATACCCACTACGCCACTGACGCATCTTTATACTGACTGCACTGTAACATTTAACTTGTAACTGTGCGTTCCTGTCAGTTTTTAAAACTGCTTTTTTCTCAAATTTGACAGATGCCAAGTCCACCTGAGGAGCACAGGACACCAGCTGTTACCATACAACCAATGCTCTGAACCCACAGATATGGAATTAATTCCGTGCTTGATGGAATTAATGCCCCATGTCTCCACCAGCCCCAGAAGGGCTGAGACATTTCCTCTCAAGACAGCAGCTACTCCATGTGCAAGAGGAGCCAACCCCTTTTAGATATCATGTTAGTTACTTAAAATAACCTCAGCTATTTACCTGTTGTAAATCATCCTTCATCATCTGTCTGTCCTGTCTAATGTAAACTCCCTAAAAGGTGTGACAGAATCAAATCCACTGCACATGTCCTGGCTTAGCAGCTGCTTCTGCATCACTGGCACATCAGTGTTTAACACAGACACCAGGAAAAGCACTTGTAATTGTACCCCCATTTTCCTCACACCTGAAACAGTTTTTTTTTAATAAAACAGTGACCCTGGAGCACAAACAGTATATGCTGGAGTTAGGTTTAAAAATCTGAGTTCTTACTGTGTGAAGGAAACTTGGAATCAGGGTGAACCTGTAACTAAACTAAAGCCATTTCACATTGTTTCTGAATAAACACTTGGTGTATTGGAGGCACAATTTGTATATGAGAAGAATTAGATTCAGACACCTAGGTTAGAAGCAGACCAAATACTCATTTTTGCAGACAGATGGTTTTAATGCCTTATTTCAACCAAATTCAGAAGAAATTAAGACCTGCAGGTACAAACCAGATAGTCTTCTGACTAAAAGACTGATTCACCAGGTAGTTGATTCTAAGCACTATTTGTTAGGTAAAATTACTTACAGTCACATTTTTTACCTCTATTTCAGTTCTCTTCTTTTTTTTTTTTTTTCTTTCAATTTAATTTAAAGCAAAACACACAGTGAGCACATAGCTAACACCAGATAAATACTCACGGATCCCTTTTCCATCACTCTGTTCAACATGACAACACCACGGCTTTTCTGTTCCCAAACCATCTCCCAGAAGTGACCACAAGTATTTGGCAAAGGTCCCTGTGGAGACAGAATAACCAGAAATAAGTGATATTTTCTGTCAAAATCAGAGCAATGTTTCCCAGTAAAAAGTTACTGCCCTAGACAATAAATGCAGGCAAATATCAAGCAACTTCTCAAACTGAAAAAAAAAAAATCCAAACCCAAAAACAACAGAATGTAGTGATGTAGCTTTAGGTTCCAATTCTCCCATGGACGGATGTTAATCTCTTCCCTCCCCACACACATAACACACATAACAGGAAGACAGAAGTAGTCTCATTAGTGAGAAGAGAACTGGGAGCGAAAAATGCTGAGAGAATTTTCGTAGGCGGGCAAATGAAAGTAATGGGGAAATAAAACCTCACTGATTAGGAGCAAAATTAATGTACACGTTTAATTCTTCTGCAATACTTCATTGTTATTCATGATACTTTACAGTATTATACTCTACTTACAAAGCACATTTCCTTGTAGCTTCTTGTCTGTGCTAATTCATTTTGCTGTTCTGTACTCCAAAATCCATTTTGAATTTGGGTCAACACAGCCAGCAGCACGGTGCCTCTCACACTCACTAAACACCACCTTGCTCAAACAGCTGGCCAGGGACCTCAAAAAGCCATTCAAATCCATTAAATACTGGATCAGAAAAAATCTTTAGTACCACTTAGCTGCACATACAAGCCTACCAGTTCAACTCTGCGATCAGCCTACCTCGTCCTAAATAAGGGAAATGCAAGTTATGTACAAGAATCATTTTCATATTGAATGCTGCACTGCCTGCTTCTTCGTTACAGATTTATCTTTGTTCTCTAGAAAGAAGAAGGAAGAGCTGCTGACCTTTGCTTGGAAATATTAATCCCAGTCTACCTTTATCTGAAGCGCGGGAGGAAGAACAAGTCAAGATTAGAGGCCAGGGCTGCCTCCAGGAAACCAAAGGTTTAGGACAAACAGGACTTCTGACAATCGCCAGCTGTCACAGTAAGACGGCCAGGTACCTTGGTGTCTTTGAAACTGTTACAGAATTGTGTAAGTCACAGATTCAGAGAAAGACAGCAAATTTCCCCCCTGCCCATATCTCCATCATCGAAGCCTTTATCATAGCTTTCCTCTCTCACTTCAAAGATAAAGACATCAGCACTGTCCGTAGACCTTTTGGAGGTCATCTTAGGATGTACACATCTGTGAACACTACACTATCGTTTTCAGAAGGATGCGTAACGACAAACTTCTGTAAATGTGAAATTCTCCCACTAAGTGAAGCATGTTTCTGTTCAGGAATTTTAAGACTATAATGGTCCAAAGTTCCAAAGCCTTTGTGCTTTGGACTTCCATGGTCTTTATGCATTGGTCTTCCACGTAGGAGAAAGGTGACAGATGTCAACCACATCTTGATGTTGCTTATCATAAACCAACATATCATAAGTGGATTTCTAAAAGTACATCAACTTCTGTTATAAAGCCAAGGTGGGCCTGAAGTCAGAGACCCAATGGTACCAAAATGCAAAGTCAGTACTGACAAAAAGAAGGAAAAACATGCAGCATTTATATTGTGTGCATAGAACAACTTTATATGTTTAAACAGACAGGGATACCTATATACACTTAACTAGCTTTAAAATAAACAACATAAACCAGACAGACTAAAGAAATTCCTTGAAAAACAACTCCAATCATCCTATATTTCCACTGTGTGTAGACAGCAGTTACCTGTGTAAGGATGTAGCTCCTCTGGGCCTCTTCCATTTTTATTAAACTAGCATTGATATAGTCATTGTCACCTTGATTTAGCTTAATTCGACTGTGATCAACTGCAGAATAAATCAGAAATACTGGTTAGAACACATGCACAGCCTCACTAGATGATAGGCTCAAAAAAGCAGAGTTTTCCTGAAGAATTAAAAGAGCTCAATCACAGAAGTGTTCTCTGGTATCCCCGGAGCCTCAAGTACCATGTATGTACTACGAGAACAGCACTGTACAGAGCAGTGAATTCAAGTCGAGCTCCGTCTTCTGGAAATACATTGCAAGAATCTGGTACTCACAATTAAGGTGCAAACCAGATCACACTGATACATTTGTACAGTTACTAAGTTACTGTTTTTAAATAAATACAGTTACATAACTGCTTATCTACTTCAACTTAAACATTAAAAATCAGATTGTTAAAGGTCTGACTAAACATGTATTGAACAAACAAAAGACTTACTCTACTTTTCCCAGACAAGAACAAGTAACGTCTAGAAATAATAATTAAAGTTACAGAAAATGTAATGTTACTGCTCTTTTGTTAGGTTCTATTTCTTCTATATAGAAGGAAAAATGCGCACACACACACAGAAAAAAAACCCACAAAGACAAGAATTTTCACATTTTACAAGAAAGGTGAACAGATGATAACCTTCAGCCCCTACAATGTAAGAATTTGGTGGTACACAGTAACACTCTTCTCTTTGAGCAGAATATAGATAACTGCCCAAAGACAGAACCTACAGAATCACTGTATTTAAAATAGGTACCAGTGCTGCACCTTTAAGGAAGGGTCCTGACTACTGCTCTGCAGTGCAGAGAAGCCAGTCAGTTCAGCCAAGTAGTCACTTTCTCTAGTGTCTGCAATAGCACCTCCAAAGTCAGCACGCCAGGCACAGGGAAGTCTGAATGCGGTAGCCTTTGTACATAGACTCACGGATGGAAAGACAGCCTGCGATGCTGAGCAGAACTGCTGCTGCAGTGCCTTGTACAGAGGGCACATGCTCAGAGACTGAAGTCTCATCACAATTCAACAGAACATGCAATGACAGTCATTTTGGAAGCACAGGTCTCGCGCTGAGATTACCAGCTCTGCAAACGTCCCTTTTTCTATCTCAAATCTCAATCTCTGTCTCAACTGGATTCATCTCCAGTGGTCTTACTTTATGCAAGACTTCTCCATCTTCCAAAGGCAACAATTATGCTACATTGACTGAAAGGATGTTCTAGTAAGTGCACTGCAATAGAAAGGATATTTTTACTTGTGTTAATACTTCCACCACCGTTTTTCCCTAGCATAAGAGAAAACAAGTTCCGTTCTTCTGTTTTCTGCCCACACATACAGAATCACTGCATGTTGCTACACAACGATCCTATGAACATAACAGCATCCTGTGCCATCAATCTCATAACTTTATATATTAACAGACATAATGATCTGGGATCTCTATGCATCTAACAGAGGTCTTGATCTTACACAGAGCATTTACGTGCCAGAAATAATTAGAGGTCAATTGTGTGTCACAAACAATGGAAAAGCAAATATACTTACAGGGGCTGACATCTCTGTACCTATTTCTGTTTTTGTTTCTGGGATGTTTCGCCACTTTACATGGAAAATCACTGGCTTCATGCCTAATGTCCTGAAACAAAACAACCAAAAAAGTTTAATGTATGAATTCATTTAATATCATCCTACCGTTAGCTATTTGAAGACAAACAGCCATCTGACTTCATGTTTTATCACAGAATGACACGATTTGTTTTACCGTGTGACAGTTTTAGACAGTGAACATTTTAGGATTCAGGTAAAAACTCAGTTTAAATTTATCAGAACACAAGAAAACGCTGGAAAGCACTTCCATATGAACTGCTCTACGATAATGGTGCCATTATCAAGGGAATTATCAAATGTTCCTTCTGGCCAACCAAGAATTAGAAAATATTCATTATGGTAGAAAAGACCTGTCTGCCCCTTGGCATCAGAGGAGTGACGTGTCAACGTCAACATGCCACAGTCACGTCTTTCTAAGGCTGTGCGGAACTTTATCTTGACTTACCAGCTGCAAATGGCAAAAAAAAAATTCAACTTGCATGCTCTACTGAATGTATCTATCATCTAAAGCATACAATTACAGTTTCTTCCAGGTTTTTTTTTCAGATGTATGAAATAGCTCAACTATCTGAGATGATTTCTGCTGTCCTTGGATATTAGTCCCAGCTGATAAGAAACACGTCTTAACAATGTAAGTAAATACTGTTCTAAGCAAGCGATTCTTAAAAACTACAGTACAAGGAACTTTACCTTAAAGCTGCCATATTTAACTGAAATTAATGAAAACCAAAGGAATGGATTTACTGTAAAACTGATACTTCGACAGCACAATTAGGTTTATGAAATCCTAAGACAGATACCATATGCATGAACATTAAATGAAAAAGTGAATCTGGCCCAGAGGCCATTCAAAAACATAATTATAAACACATTACAGAGCTAATTTATTTTTGTTAAAGACACCAAGTTAAGCCAAGTTTTACGTTAATTACCTGTGCAGACATGCATGCTGTTGAGCATGGTGTTGATCCACACATCTATAACCACTGTTAGAAGCAGAGAGGTTTCTGTGCATAAACATGCAGTAGCTTTGCAGGACTGCCTGTGATACATCTGCACAGAAAGGCTGGGCACTCCTCTATCAATCTCAGGCTCCAGCTCACACTGTGGCAAGCTACCAACATGAGAGCTGAAGGATTTTATACCACCTCAGAATCTAATTGCTGAAACACAGGGCAAACTGGACTGCTTTTCTATTCCTCACAGCTTTGCAGAAAGAAGTACTTACAGTGCTAAAGATTTGTATTTATTTATTCATTTATTTATTTTGAAGTTCCTCTTTTTTGCTTTATTACCCCATTATTTACCAGTGATTACCAATGTACAGTGAATTCTGCAAATTAAGCAAACAGCTCTATTTTTCATATACCTGCTCAAAATTAGTACAGTATTCTGAAATGGCCCCTCACTGAAATAAGTAATGACAGCTGCTACTTTTTGCAACTTAACACATGGCTGCCAGTAATTCTGCTTATGAAGAATGCTGTCTGGAGAACATGATCTTGACTGCTACAATCTAATATCTAAAACATGAAGTAGCTAAAAGGGCTGTTTTCGTAAATTAATCTCTGACTAATCAATTAGATTGACGATTCTGTGTTCTGCAGGTGTTTATCTTTCCTATATACTGACTGTACAGGATTAATAAGAGAAAAATAGGGAACTAAGGAAAAGTGGCCTTCTGGATCTCTAATCATATTTCTCACAGAGCCTATGTAGTCAGGAACCCAAAAAGTCAACACTTAAGATCCATATTAAAATGCAGCAAATTGCAAACCAAAAGAAAAAAATCCTTAGGAATGATAGCTGTGAATACAGAGTTAAACTGGTAGCAGCACTAGTCTGTGCAGTATCATTTCGTGGCATTAAAACATCTGAAAACAACCATCCCCTCTCTAAAATAGGAAACAAATCAAACATTTCATTACTGAGATTAAATGATGCAAAGGAATTCTAATGTAAAAATACTGTACTTAAGTATTCATGTGCATATGCACTTATACACTACTTACTCCCAGCCTCAGGGAGTTCCACAGATTCAGATATGTATTTAAGGATCTCAGACTGGTAATGCATTGCTGAGGGAGTAGAAATCTGGTTATTAACTAACACCTGGTGGGTTTTTTTTGTTGTTGTTGTTGTGATGCTACAGTGCCTACAGGAATAGAAAGAATAAAGGAGGTCGAGGAGATGCAAAACTCCAATAAGCATGTAGAAAATGAAGAGAAAGAAATTACCCACATGCCTCCCAAAAACAGACAGTCTTTAAAAAAATTACATATTCCTGAAGCATGTTGCAAAAAAACAGAGATAAAAACAAAAGGGTAGGAGTGAGGGGGAAGAAGATGAAGGATCAAGATATCGCAGCAGGCAATCTGCTGCCTTGTATGAAAAGCCAACTAAGCATACAGAACTTCATTTCTGAGTGCAATACCAATAAAAAAGAAAATCCCAAAGGGCACGCTGCCTGGATCTCGGTGGTTGAATTCATGCCTGAAAAGATGGGGCATGCTGTTCTCAACAACATGGAATAAAAGTGACTTGAGGTTTTCTGTTGTTTATTTTGGCTACAGCAGTTGGTAGAACATCTAGAATGACAAGAAACATAAGATTTTTTCAGGATATTAAGCTGGCTTTGGTAGAAGTCAGATGGCCTTCAACAGAAGCGATTATTGGAAAGATGCATTCTAGTGTCAAGTTACAAAAACAACCATGTTACAGGCTTCTCATACATTTCCCAGAAACCTCTGTTACTTGTTACTTTAGGAGTCAGCTATCAAGTCAGATTAGCTACTGATGCAGGGTGGTGGAGGTCCAGTTACAGACTGGAAGATCACCACCAGGAGAAGGCAGATTCATTCAACGCACGGCATTACGTTATGAGTAACCTGAAGCCAGTCGTGCCACAAGATCTGAAGTTAGTGGATGAATACGAATGAGGTATTGATAAGGTTACTTAACACCTTCTGTAATCACGCTCAGTCTCGTTGCAGAGATCCTGTAATTTTAAAAGGACATTTCATTCAAAAAGTTGTGCAATGTAATACTTTATAAAGATGGGCTAAAACCCAAGTCACTTGCACAAGATCAAATGCTTCTGTTTATGAACACGAGTCATTCCGTAACGCTCATATCCTGATTTTAAACCCCATACCCAGTGCAAATACCCCTGAAAATGTCAGATGTAGAGTGAAGAACTTGGCTGAAGTGCTATTCTTCAAATTGAAAGTTCTCACTGCTACAAATGAATGGCAATGACTGGAATACGAAGTTCATTTGGGCTTTCCAGAAGCTTGGTCTCAGTTGCATTGAACGGGTTCCATTTCTCCACAATGCAAGGATAGCTGAGTTGTTCAGACAGAAGTAATCAGGCAGGCCAACACATCCTTGCTTGGATAGAAGCAGAAAAA